TCTGAGGGAGGAGGGACTGGGGATCAGGATTCCAGGGTCTGAGGGAGGAGGGCTGGGGGTGAGGACTCAGGGCCTGAGGGAGGAGGGCTGGGGGTGAGGACTCCAGGGTTTGAGGGAGGAGGGCTGGGGGTGAGGACTCAGGGCCTGAGGGAGGAGGGGCTGGGGGTCAGGATTCCAGGGTCTGAGGGAGGAGGTCTGGGGGTCAGGACTCAGGTCTGAGGGAGGAGGGCTGCAGGTGAGGACTCCAAGGTTTGAGGGAGGAGGGCTGAGGGTCAGGACTCAGGGTCTAAGGGAGGAGGGCTGGGGGTGAGGACTCAGGGCCTGAGGGAGGAGGGCTGGGGGTCAGGACTCCGGTCTGAGACACAGAACTGCTCCTGGTCAGGGTGTCCTGCCCACAGGGAGTTCTGGGAGTCAACGCACGATGTCGCTCTGTCCCCAGTGGGCAGTGGAAGGGGCGTGTCCTGGGCGGGGCCTCAGGACCCCCTAGGTGGGGGCCGTCTTGCTCCTGGGCAGCCTCTGCTGGCATGGGCCCTAAGTGCCGGGCACTGACCACAGCCGGCGGCCAAAGGGTCAGGAAACCTGCGAGAAGGTGAGGCGGTCTGACCAGGTCAGAGGGAGGGCGAGGGTGGAAGGGCCTGCAGCAGGTGGCACCTGGGGGTGGGGCTGCCAGGTGTCCAGTGCTGTGTCCCTGGGGGGGGGGGTCCGGCTGCAGCCTGGGGCTGCAGGCCTGTGCAGTGTCAGAAAGAGGGAGTCTGGGCCTCCTGGCTGGTGTGAGTGTGTGAGGTTCTGGGAGAGGTGAGCCTGAGGGCTCAGATACTAGGTTCTCAAGGAACACAGGGCTGGGGTGGACTCCTGGGTCTGGGGAAGGAAGCTGGGGTTCAGGGCGCTGGTCTGAGGGAAGAGAGGCTGGGGCTCTGACTCTGCACCCCAGTGGTCTGAGGGAGTGGGTGTTGCGGTCCTGGGTCTGGGCTTGACAGAGGAAGCACTGGGGGTTTGGACTCAGGTCTGAGGTAGGAGAGGGTCTGAGTCTTGGTGGTCCAAGAAGGAGGAATTGGGGTCCTGGTCATGAGGATCAAGGAACTGGGGTCAGGACTGTGGGGTCTGAGGTGGGAAGGTGCGGGGACTCTCGGCCTGAGGACAATAGAACTTGGAGTCTATTACCGTGGTTAGGGTCGGGGGGATTGGGGGGCTTAGAGTCTATCGTGACTCAGTCTCTCCACATGTACAGAGGCTGAAGAGCGGAAAGGCCCGTCAGTGGCGTGAGGTGAGGTCATAAAGGAGGTCACAGATGTCCCTGGACCCTGCCCCCACATCCTGGTGCCACTAATGGCCCTGAGGGTGAAAGATGAACCAGATAACTCGAGACACCCCCAACCTTGTTTCCAAAGCAAACAGACTGAAGCCTCGGGGGTGAGGCGGTGAGGCGTCCACTCCTAAGTCTTCTCCTAAGAGCAAACAGGTGCTGTTGGGCCCCTGGGCTGCGCAGGCGGGGCGCGCTCCCCACGCTGCCACCCGGTCGCCAGGGTCCCAGAGGGGCAAGAACCCAGACTGTCCTCAAGACCTGGAGAGGCCCAGGGTCCACCTCTGTCAGCCCTAGATCACCTCCCTCAGAGCCAGGACTCCTGACGCCCCCATCTCCTCCCTCAGAGCCAGGAGTCCTGATCCCCCCACCTTCTTCTATCAGACTCAGCAGTCCTGACCCCAGCTCCCTCCTCACCCAGAGACCCAGAAGGCCAGTCCTGCAGCCCAGTCCTCCACAAACATCCTCTGTCACCTCACACCCATGAAGCCAAATCCACGCCCCCCTCCTCAAGGATGTCGAGAGACTGAATCCCGGCCTCTTCCCCATCAAAGATCCACGTTGTTAGGGACCATCAGGTCAACTGTGCCTCCCAGCAATCCTGGGGACAGAAGATCTGACCCTTGTGTGGACCGCCCTGCTCCAGTCTCACATGTCTGTCTGTCCGGCCTGTTAGGGGCCCTCCTCTCCTTCTCTGACCCACCACTTTTCCAGAATGATGTGCTCTCCCAAGCTCTGCCCCTGCTGACAAGACACAAGAAGGGAGTGAGATGCAGCCTCTCCAACCACGCCTCTCAGGGGCGCCCTGGCTGCACCTCCTCTTGGGCAGATTCTTTTGGGGGTTTGGTGGTCTGTGAGGTATTAAGTACTCTTCTCCCACACCACCACTCCAAGGCATCTATTCTTCTGTGAGTCCCACACTGTCCTCCTTCAGGTCCAGGAGTCCAGGCCCAGCCCTTCCTCCCCAAACCCCAGACCTTGCAGACAACGCCCTGGTCACCCCTTCTCCGCTGCCTTTGCAGCCATGCCGGGCAAACACTCGGAAGAGGAGCTGGAGGCGGAGGCTGCAGACGATGAACCCCGAGAGGACCTGGGAGGCCTCACCACGCAGGAGCTGCGGCAGGGCCAGGAGGCCGCTCTGGCCCTGGAGGACATGATGGCGCTGAGCGCCCAGACGCTCGTCCGGGCCGAGGTGGACGAGCTGTACCAGGGGGTGCGTCCCCTGGGCCAGGGCCGCTTCGGACGGGTCCTGCTGGTGACCCACCGCCAGAAAGGTAGGAGACCTGGGCCCATGGGTGCAAGGTGCAGGTGGGGGCGCCCCAGGATCTCTGGGTCTGCTGACAGAAACACCACAGAAATTCAGTAACTGTCCCCACCTTCGGACTCCACGAGCTGTAAATCACTCCGGCACGTTGAGAAGCCTGGCTGTCTACCTTCAGCGTGCCATCACAGGCAGGGGGCAGACTCCTCTCCTGGCACAGATGAGGATGGGCATGTCTCCTGTAGCTCTCAGTGACCCTTGGAGGTCTCCACTGTCTTGGCCTTGGTCGCCTCTGGGTCGAGGGGGTCCTAACACAGGGTCCTGGGTCTGAAGAACACGCCTCATCCTGGCTCCTCTATCTTCCTCGCTGGTGGTGAGACCACTCTGATGTCAGAGAGATTGACTCGATGCAGCTTCATTGTGCATTGTATCCTGCCTGATGAATCTAATTTCCAGTCTGCTTGATTAATATAATACCAGTGAAAGCTCACAATACGGTGACAATCAGGTCACAAAGGGACAGATAATTGTAACTCAATGAAAATCATGGGGCAGCCCAACTGACACGCTTTCTCTTTCTCTCTATGTCAGAGAGCACTGGTGGTTGAGTGGTAAGGAGCTGTGCTGCCAACCAGAGGCACACGGTTTGAGTCCCCCAGCGGCTCCGAGGGAGGAGGATGGGCGCTCTCCTCCCGTGTGGTTTATTGCCTCTGAAAACCCACTGGAGGGTCAGCTCTGGGGCGGTTCTGACTTGATAGAACATAACTCTCTCTCTCTCTCTCTCTCGAAAGCGTTGTTGCTGTTGTGTTATTATGTGCTGTGAAGTTATTATGTGCTTGTGACTCATAGAGACCCTGTGCACAACAGCCCTAAACCCTGCTCTATCCTGAACCAGTCTTACTGTCTCTGACGCGCCCACCCCCACCGCCCCAGTCACTGAGTCAATCCATCTCAAGGGTCTTCCTCTCCTGCACTGTCCCTCTACTCTCCCAAGCATGACATCCCTCTCCAAGGACCGGTTCCTCCTTGCAACATGTCCAAAGTATGTCAGATGGAGCTTCAGAATCCTTGCCTCCAAGGAGCAGCCTGGCTTCACCCTCTCCAGGATGAACTTGTTTGTTCTTCTAGCAGTCCATGGTATATTTAATACTCTTCTCCAGCACCACAGCTCAAAGGCACCAACTCTCCTTCTATCATCCCTAGTCACTGTCCAGCTCTCTGATGCATAGCATGTAATTTGCAAAGACCACGGACTTTCTCAGGGACGTTTAGTCTCCAGACTGACATCATTGCTCTTCAGTACTCTGGAGAGGTCCCTGATGACAGACTTTCCCAATGCAATTTGTCTTTGGATTTCCTGGCTGCTGGTCCCGAGAATATGAATTGTAGAGTCAAGCAAACTGAGGCTGTTAACAATCTCAACCTCTTCACCATCTATCATGATGCTGCCAACTGGCCCAGTGGTAAGAATTCTTGTCTTCTTGATATTGAGCTTCATAGAAGTACTATCAGGTCCACCATGACTCACAGCAACTGTCTGGCCAGCAGCTCTGAGCCTTGCACCTCCTGCATCAACCTCCTGGTCTCTGCTGTACGGGAGTTCGTGGTCAAAGACACGGAGCCGAGTCACGTTGCTGAGAGTGGCTTTATTGGAGCAGAAATCTACAGATTTCTGTTCCTATAAGGCAGGGGGTCGACAAGTACCTGGTCTCTCCTGCAGCCCGGGCGGGGGGTGGGGAGGGGAGACTGGTCTATCTAACTGCATCTCTGCCTCTGTGGTCACGTTAGCATCTTCCATGTTCCCTGACTCATCTTTTCCTTCACGTGGAAACCTTTCAGAAAAGATCAGGACCCAGCTGACTCCAGTGCTACCATCAGGCACTGGGAGCACCAATTCTTGACGCCTAGTAATTCCATGTGACAGAGGAGAGCGGCCCTAACTTTTTTTCCTTTGAAAAAATCTATTCACTTACTTTTTATTTAAGTGAAAGCTTGCAGGTCATATTGGTTTTCATGCATCCATTCGTAGACTATTTCCCAAAACTTTCTATTAATGAATTTTTAGTGAAATCTTCCCAATTCTATTCCCTATACGCATTCATAGGTGTTTTGTGTTCTAGCATTCAGTGCTACAGGTTAATGTCATTAACTGTGATATCCAACCCCTCCCTGGGGCCGCTCTGGGTGGAGTCCCTGGACAATTGCACTTATCATCCCAAAGCGTCACTTCCCCAGTGGTTCAAACTCCCGTCTCCTGAACCACTGTCTCCTCGGAGACAGGTGAGCGGTCTCATGTCATCTGATTTACAACCTTGAAAACCCGGCGAGTCAGCTCTGAGGCGTTGCTGCCTCAGCAACAGTGAGAGCACAGACTTCTCACCCTGCCATGCCTTCCTCTCCCAGTGGAATGTTCCAGATCACACAGGCTCTCCCACATCCAGCGGCCGCACAGGGTCGACTCCCGGCGCTTCCAAAGAGCGGGTGTTCCTTCTCCCATGTCCAGTTACCTGTGGCTTGTCCAGCAGTCTTTGGTGGCCTTTTGTCGCTTGGCGTTTCTCCTCTCTCCTAAGGATTAGGACCTCCCACACCCCTTCCTCTTTCCACTGTGACTGTGTGTCAGAGGGACTGGTGATGTCTTCAAAGGGCTTCTTTACAAACAAGAGCTTGGATAAGACATCCAGAGAATTCCTGGGGCTACCGGAAGCAGGGGGTGTGGGAGAGGGAAAGGGAGAAGGAGGAGGAGAAGAAGGAAGAGAAGGAGGAGCACGAGGAGGAGGAGGAGGAGGAGGAGAGGAGAGGAGAGGAGAGGAGAGGAGAGGAGAGGAGACAGAGCAGCGAGGTGTCCGGCAGAGGCCCGGCGGAGCGTGGCTGGGCCGCTGGTGCTGTGAGGGGCAGCTGGCACGTCCTGGCTCCAGCGGGCCTGTGTTGGACACAGTGAATCCCGCCATGGTCTCACTCCAGCTCCACACTCTCGATTGTGTTAAATCGCCTGCTGCAGCTACCGTGTCAATTCATTTCCTCTCCTTTTCTGACGCTCTACTTTTCCAAGCCTGGAAATTAAAAGACGAATTGCACTGGGAAAGCCTGCTGTCAGAGACCTCTCCAAAGTACTGAGGAGACTAAGATGCCCCTAATACAGGCCATAGTCTTTGCAGTCACTTGCTGTGCTTCAGAGAGCTGGACAATGACTGGGGAGGATAGAAGAGGAATTGATGCCTTTGAGCTGTGATGCTGGAGAAGAGTATTGAATATACCATGGACTGCTAGAAGAACAAACAGGTTCATCCTGGAGAGGGTGAAATCAGTCTGCTCCTTGGAGGCAAGGATTCTGAAGCTCCATCTGACATACTTTGGACATGCTGCAAGGAGTGACCAGTCCTTGGAGAGGGACGTCATGTTTGGGAGAGTGGAGGGACAGCGCTGGACAGAAAGACCCTCTATGAGGTGGATTGTTTCAGTGACTGGGGTAATCGGGATGGGCGTATCAGAGACAGTGGGATTGGCACAGGACAGAGCAGGGTTTAGGGCTGTTGTACATAGATCGCTATGACTCGCCAGTGACTTGATGGCACATAACAACAACTTTGCCTAGATGATGTCTTTTCCCAAGGACAGGCCTCTCTTGGCAACATGCCCAAAGTGTGGGGCTGAAGTCTCCCTGTGTTTGCTCTCACAGTGCACTCTGGCCGCATGTCCACGACAGAAGTGTTTGTCCACCCACTGCCCCTCACCGGCACAGAAATTCCAACATGTTCTACAATCTTCCTCAGCTAGTCCTTATCAGACATCTTAATTTGGATTTAAAGCAGAAATGAACACATTCCTGCTTCTTTGTAAATCATCCAGTCCTAGGAAACAGTCACACTCCTAGGCTGTTGTTGTTGTTGTGGTGGTGGTGGTGGTGGTGGTGGGGGTGGGGGTGTACCGTCCAGCAGAAACCGACCCATAGCTGACCCTCCGGGAGTTTTCAGAGACAGTTAATCAAACGGGCGGAGATTGCCCGTCCTTCTCCCACGAAGCAGCTGGTGGCCTCGAACCACATACCTTCAGGATGGCAGCACAGCTTCTTGCCACGAGGCGCCCAGATTGTTGTTGCTTTGTGCTATCAAAAGGGGAGCAACTCTTCTTGACGCCCAGTGGCTTTGCAGGCTGGAGATCACACCAGAGGAGAATTCCCGTCTTCCTCTTGTGGAGAGCCTGGTGGGTTTTGGTCACTGTCGTTGAGGTGGCAGCTCAGCTCATCACGCCCTGGGCCCCGGGGTCTCCTGCCATGTTTTTGTGGTTGTGTAACTTCAAGTCAGAGCTCACCCACGGCGGATCCACCAGCAGGTTTTCAGAGGCAGGAAATCGCACGAGAAGAGAGCAGGGAGTGGACTCGAACCGCGTACCTTTGCGTCAGCAGCGCAATTCCTGACCACTCAGCCACCAACCCTCATTATGTTGTTATTGCTGTTGTTAGGTGTCGTCAAGTTGAGTGAGAGTCAGGGGACCCCGTGAACAACAGATCTGAAGCCCATCTAATCCTGAGCCATCTGCACAATCCCAGCCACATACTGGGAGATGAGACTTTGCTGCCTTGGCCTCCAGGGAGCGCTTTGGCCGCACCTCCTCCATCCTGACACATGATGACCCCACATGGCCACAGGACACCTTCCCCCACCCCTATCCCCCCGCGAGGTCCAAGGCTCTGCCCTCTCACGAGCGGACCCCCAGCCTGCCTTCCTGCCTTCTGCGTGGGCTGACTTGACCAGCAGTCAGTGGTGTAGACCCCCCCCAGGGATCCTCACCCCAAGTGGGGGTCAGTACTGTGATACACTGTTGTCATGGCTTTGACTCTCGGCTTCTCTGTGAACAGAAGGACAGAACCCCGTCCCCTCCTGCAGGTCCCAAGCTTCTCACTGCAGTTGTTCTGTGAGTGTGTCCTGTGGGGGGGGGGGTCCCCCTCGTCTTCATGGACACTCCACTTTACCAATCCAATGTCCTTCTCTGGGGATAGGCCTCCCCATCACATGTCAAAGGCCCTTTCTTATTTTTTAATAGTTCTTTTTTAAAATTAATTTTTTAATTAATTTTCATGAAAGTTTACAGAGACATTGGATTTCCATTTATTCATTGTTGCACTTTTCTCCCTGCCCACCCCTGCCCCCCCCAGTTCATTCTTCTCTTTGAAAAGTAAGAGAAAAACTCTTTCATTGTTATGCAATCCCTTCCCCAAGTCCACTCCGCTATGCACCCTTCGTTCTGGACTCCTGTCATGACAATAATACCTAACCACATATCCCTTTTAAACCATTCTCTCCCTCATCTGTTTCAATGCAGTATACATAATTTATCTCATCTTTCTCAGTCTCTCCTCAAACCCCATGTCAGTCCTGTTTTATAACAGTGCACCATGCAGTATTTGTCCTTTTGTGACTGAGATATTTCACTCAGCATAATGTCCTCCAGGGTCACCCATCTTGAATAATATTTCATGAGTTCCTTGTTTTTCAATGCAGCATAGTATTCCATTGTGTGAATATCCCACAGCTTCTCTATCCATTCATTTGTAGAACGGAAAATTAGGGTGTATCCAGCCCCTTGCTATTGTGAACAAAGTAACAATAAACATGGGTGCGCACTGTCCATTCTTCTAAGGAACGTCCTGGCTACACTGCTTCCGAGATAATTTGATCATTAGCCTGGAAGCCCATGGTGAGCTCAGCACTCTCGGCCAGTCCGAAGGTATCGATCTTCCTTACAAAGACTGCTTCCCCCAGTACAGAGTTAGGACTCTCAACATGCAGGGTTTTATTGTTTGTTTGTTTTTAAATTTTTTATTTTTATTATTTTGTGTGCGTGTACCGTCAAATCAGATCTGACTGGTACAGGAGGATATTGCTCCTCCTTCCCCAGTAGAGCATCTGGTGGATTCGAACTGTGTACCCCTGGGATTGCAGTGCAGCTTCTTGCCACTAGGCCACCAGAGCTCCCCTTCAACGTGCAGTTTTAAGACCCACAACTCCACACCCAAAGGGAGAGACTAGCTGTATGGGGGGCACGGCTCAGCCCCTAACGCCGTGACCCCCAGTGACCAGGGCTCTCCCACCTCCCCCCTGCTCCTTCCTGCCCCCCCACCCCAGGCACCCCCATGGCGCTGAAGCAGCTCCCAAAGGCCTCCACCACCCTGCGTGGCTTCCTGTACGAGTTCTGCGTGGGCCTCTCGCTGGGCGTGCACTCGGCCATCGTGGCCACTTACGGCATCGGCATCGAGTCGGCCGACTCCTACAGCTTCCTCACGGAGCCCGTTCTGCACGGGGACCTCATCGCCTTCATCCAGCCCAAGGTGGGTGAGGGGTCCGCAGCCCCCTGCCTGAGCGCCTCCCCAGGGCCTGGCCGCCCCAGCCTCACCCTCGGTGTTGCACAGGGTTTGTCATCGGCTGCCAATGTAGAGGTTGAGGTTTCAAACCTGGAGACCTGGCTGTCTCCTCCCACGAGGAATCCCACCACCACTGGGTGGATTCTGACCCCCAGTGACTTTTCTCTGATGGAGCAGAGCGGCCTCTGGGGTGTCCGGAGCCTCACACACGTCCTGGTGCTGGCGAGAAGCTGGTGGACTTGGACGCCTGACCGTGGGCTTGACCACTGTGGCACCAGGGCTCCTTGCCCAAGGGTTACAGCCTGGGCAACGTTTCTGTGGGGCACATCTACACCCACGGGAAGTCGCGAGGGGTCAGAACCAAAAGGACGGTTCTTGTTAGTCTCCTGGGACGTGAACCTCGCTTAGACCTGGAGACGCTGCCCTGGGCTCTCACCCAGCAGTTAGGGGTCTACAATTAACTGACGCCCCAGGACAGCCCCCACACTCCGCTGACATTGACAGGGCTACCTAGTAAGACTGGACTTCCAGGGAGATATACCAGGTACAGTAAGATATACCAGGTCCCCAGGGGGACCCACCAAGGGGAAGGGATGCTGGGCTTCACAGGCCCCCCACCAGGCCTCGCTGGGAGCACCAGGCCTCATGGATAGCCACGAGGCCTCATCAGGGGGCACAAGGCCATGGGCTCCCCTTACACGAGGCCTTCACGGGCTCCCCACTAGGCTCCATCAGGGGTTACTGGGCCTCACAAGTCCCCAGTAGGAGTCACGGGGGAGACTGGGCCTCATAAGGCCCCGCTAGGCCTCACCAGGGATTCCCAGCCTCGTGCACTCCCACCAGGCCTCAGTGGACACCAGGCCTCACAGCCACCTTAGGACTCATCTCTGCCAATCCTCTGAGGGCCTTTGTTTGCCCCTGGCAACCTGCTCCCTGGAGCCCAGGGCACACAGGTTGGGTTTCCTGAGCCCCTTCCAGCCTCCCCTCCACCAGCACTTGCCTCTCTAGCAGGCGGAGGGGTGCTGACACACTCGCCCCCCCAGGTGGGCCTCCCGCAGCCGGCAGCCCAGCGCTGTGCGGCCCAGTTGGCCTCCGCCCTGGAGCACATCCACGCACAGGGGCTGGTGTACCGCGACCTCAAGCCCGAGAACGTGCTGGTGTGTGACCCCGCGTGCCAGCGCGTCAAGCTGACCGACTTCGGCCACACGCGGCCCCGGGGGACCCTGCTGCGCCTCGCCGGGCCCCCCATCCCCTACACGGCCCCCGAGCTGTGCGGCCCGCCGCCGCTGCCCGAGGGGCTGCCCATCCAGCCCGCCCTGGACGCCTGGGCCCTGGGCGTGCTGCTCTTCTGCCTCCTGACCGGCTACTTCCCCTGGGACCAGCCCCTGCAGGACGCCGACCCTTTCTACGGGGACTTCGTCGCCTGGCTGGCCTCGGGGCAGCCGCAGGACCGCCCGCAGCCCTGGTTCGGCCTGACGCCCACGGCCGACGCTCTGCTGTGGGGGCTGCTGGACCCGCACCCCAGGAAGCGGTGCCCCGTGAGCTCAGTCAGACACTACCTGGGTCAGCCCTGGAGGCAGCAGGAGGGCACGGGCGCAGAGGGCGACGAGGGGGACCAGGTGGACGGAGAATGAGGGGCAAGGACGACAGGTCACGGTCGAGGTCAAGCGCAGCCTCAGGAAGATCTGTCGGCATGTTTAGTGACCTCTGTTTCTCTCCATCCGTCTCTCAGCATTTCCCCCTCCTTGTTCTCAGCGAGCTCTGGCTCTGGAGGCCTAGACCGTGGGGAGGGGAGCCAGCCACCAGCCCCAAAGCCGCATCTCTGTTGGTTCAAATCCACCGGTGGTTTCGAGGGAGAAAGGAGGACAGTCTCCTTCCATGTGATTAGCAGCCTGGGACACCCCGAGCTCAGCTGCAGGAGGCTCTGATGGACAGCAATGAGCCTGGGCTCTGTCTGTCTGTCTGTTGGTCTGTCTGTCTTTTCTGGAGGGGGCTGTCTCTCCTAAGTATGGAGCTCTGGGGCCTAGAGTATCTCATGTGTGCTACTAGGGGAATGGTCAGCAGTTCAAATCCACCAGCAACTCCAGGGGAGTATGACGGTCTGTCTCCTGATCAGATAGGGAGCAGTTGTTGTTGTTGTTGTTGTTGTTTGCCATCGAGTTGGAGCTGACTTGCAGCTGACCCTCCAGTGGGCTCTCGGAGACTGCTGGTTGCACAGGAGGAGGTTACACATCCTTCTCCCAGGGAGCAGCCAGTGGATTCGAACCGTGCGCCCGTGGGTCGGCAGCACAGCTCCTGATCACTAGGCCCTCAGACCCAGAGGAGGCTCGCCAGGAGCCGGACTCGACGTGTGGCAGTAACCCGGTCATTCTTAGGAGCCCAGAGGTACAGTGGTTAAACAGTAAGCTACTAACCAGAAGGTCAGGAGTTCAAACCCACGCGTTGCTTCAAGGAAGAATGGTGAGGCAGCTTCCTGCAGACTCTCAGCCGTGGAAACCCCACGGGGCAGGTCCCCTCCGCCCTGCAGGCCCACTGTGGCCTGTGGTCAGCCTGTGGGGGCTCTGCCCTTCTCATCCCCGTGTCTGCACACCGCGGGTTCCCCATTTAGGGCACAGCTTTGCCCCCACCACTTCACACGGCCTAAGTAGGACTTCTCCTTCTATTCTTTCCCTGTTCATGATCATAGCCCCGTTCACCATATTTCCAAAGCTGTCAATCTTTACAGGAGGAGACCACCCGTGTTTCTCCTGTGGAGGGGCTGGTGGATTTGAACCACCGACCTTTCTGTTGGCAACACAATACATAGTCGACTATGCCACCAGGGCTTCCCTTCGCTGCATCACCAGAGGCCCTTGTTCTGAACTTCTTACTAATAACAGAATGTGGAAACAAAACAACTCTCAAATACCACTTTCGTTCAGTCACAACCGACTCCTGGCTGACCCCCGTAAGATGCCCCAGGCTGTCCATCACACAGGCGAAGACGGCTCATCTTTCTCCCTCGGAGCCACTGGAGGATTCGAACCACCAGAGAGGGCTGGCTTCTGAGTTCCTAGTGCAACTCGCTGTGGACTGTGCCACCCAGACCTCCTTACACAAACGACAGACTTCTGTAGTTGTGATTCATTGTAACTCCAACAGGAAGGATGCAATTTAAAAATAAAGATAGTAACACTGTTGTGGGGCCCTTGTAACTCCAGTGTGGAGCCCATACTACAGACAGTAAGATGCACAGCCCACATATAAACAGAAACAATGTAACACATCGGCCTCACCCACCGAGACTGCCTGCAGACTCCCTGCTCCTCTCTGAGAGTCTTTATTCATCTTTGTATCCAGCTACCCCAGGACATTTGCATTTGCTGCTCCCATTGCCTGCAATTCTCTTGACTCACTCCCTCACCTCCTGCAAAAGCTCCGCTTAGATCTCACCCTTTCATCAAAAAGCCCACCACAGCATTGCAACCTGCCTTCAGCTTTTCACACGTGACTTCCCCGGTGCTGGTCCAGTTTTCTTTTCCCCAGTGGCTCTGCTGTTGGTTGTTGTGAAGAGCCATCGAGTTGATTATTCCAACTCACATCGGCCACGTGGACAACAGAGCAAAACACGGCCTGTCGTGTGACACTCTCACGGTCATCGCCGTATCCGAGCCGGGCGTTCCAGTCCTTGTGTCCACCCATCTCATTGGAGGACTTCCTCTTCTTCACTGACCTTCCTGTCTGTCAAGCATGATGTCCTTCCCCGAGGACTGTCCCTCCTGGTGGCATTTGCAAAGAGCACGTGCTGAAACCTCGCCACCCCCTCCTCCCACAGCACATACCCCTCCCGCCTGCGTTAACTTATCTGTTAAGAGTCTTTTGCAGTGATTGCCCTGCAAGGATTGATTCTCCTGGAGAACAGGGCTCTTGCCTGTCCTGTTCCATCATGCGTCCCACATATCCAGAATGTTCTCTGGCCCCCTGAGGATGGTCAGCAAATAAAGCTAAACAATCATACTCATTTGTCTCCCTCCCTCTGTTCAGGTGACCTCTTTAACTCTTCATCAACACATTCACATCTTCCTGTCTCCTTTTTTCTGTCTTTACTGAGTTTCTCTCCTACCTCATTCCCTCTATCACTTTTCAAGGTGTGACTTGGGTGAACATGGACAGAGAAAATTGGTGGGATTATTATTATTATTATTATTTTGTGTATATGCACCATCAAATTGGATCTGACTGGTACAGAAGGAGATTGTGCATCTGGTGGATTTGAACACGTACCTCTGAGATTACAGTGTAGCTTCTTGCCACTAGGCCATTGGAGTGCCCTTGAAAATTGGGTTTTCATCCAACCTTTCATGTACAGTTTGTGTTACAAGAATTATAATATCCATACTGTAGCTGCACTCTCCCCAGTTCCTCCCTATGACTCCAGTTTCCATCAGTCCTCTAGCCTACCCCTTCCTGCCTTCAGTGACTTCTCTTTGGGCAAATACTGCCCTCTGGACCTTGTAGGGTTAGTTATTCTAAAGAAGGAGTGACTCTCTTTTGTGGTGGTCAGCCTCAGAGATCTTGGTTAAAAGTTAAGCTGCTCGGATGCCCTCTGCCACTTTGAACTATGTTGGGCAGGGAGCTCTGGTGGCCTAGTGGTAAGAAACTGCACTGCAATCTCAGAGGTATGTGTTTTGAATCCATCAGATGCTCTACTGGAGAAGGAGGGGCAATCTCCTCCTGTACCAGTCAGATCCGATTTGATGGTACACACAAACACAGAATTTTAAAAAAGAAATATGTTGGCCAGCAACGCCCCCTCTTTGTTATTTTTTTAAAAATATGCTTTCCATTTATGATTTTTATTGCTGAGGGCTAGTTTTTGTTTCACTTTTAAGGATTAGAATCTTCTCATGGGCTTTGGTAGGGATGGTGAGACAGCACCTGCAGATTTGAATCAGGGGGTGTGTGAGAGAGAAGAAGAAGGAGGAGGAGGAGGAGAGATGAAGAAGGAGGAGAGAGAGATGAAGAAGAAGAAGAGAGAAGGAGAAGAAGAAGAAACAGATGAAAAAGAAGAAGGAGAGAGAGAGAGAGAGAGGAGGAGGTGCGTGGGTCTGTGAGAGAAAGACTGGAGGGGTGAAAGGTTCCTTCTGTGTGTGCATGAATTGAATCCTGTGTTTAGGTGTATAAGAGTCCTTGGGGGGGGGTGTGAGAGAGAGATTGAAGAGTAGACTGTTTCACTCTGTGTATGAATCAGATCCATGATTGTAAGTATGTGCAGGCATGTGTGTGCATGCACGTGTGTGTGTGAGAGAGTGTGTATGCATGCGCATGTGTGTGACTTGCCAGGGAGAAAGGTCACGAAGGCGCCTCCTCTGCAGCACCTGGGCCCCTGCCCTGGTCCCTGGCCCCCCTGCTGGCCCTCCTGGCAACCGCCGGACCCACAAACACTCTCTCTTCCTCTCCCGTGCCCTCTTTGGCTGTCCGCCTGGAGCCAGGCCACAGCTCAGCACTGGATCGTGTGTCGCCCTGTCCCTGGCCCCTGCCCCCCACATGCCCCTGCTCTGGCCACTGAGGTGTTGACTGGCGGTGAGGGGGTGGATTGACCCCACCGTCTGACCGGAGGCTGAGGTCAGAGCAGTAACCACAGACTGGCCCTTCCTAGACAATCCAGGGGGGCTCCCTGGAGTAGAGAGTCTTTGGTGTCTAAGGTGCTGGAGGAGGGTGTGTGGACCCAGACCTCCTGCTGCTGTGCCCACGAGTCTGAAATAGTCCAGGCAGCGGGGCCAAGAATGTGTCCCCCCAAAAGCTGGAGACGGCTGAGATGAGGGTGGGGCAGGGCAAGGGAGCCTGGACTAGGGGCAGGGGAGGCGGCCAGCGGTGTTAATTGGTGGTGGCAGCTGAGGATTAGCTGGGAGGTGATAATGACAGGCTCTCTGCAGGGGAGGAGGCAGGCATTGCCCAGGAAGGCCTGGAGGGGGGCAGTAGCACTAATTAAGCAGCCTGCTCATTAAACAGCTCCCCTAGGGCTGGGCCAGCCAGGTCCCTCTTTCCTCCCTTCCTTCCTAAGAATGGCCCCGGGGGCCCTGCTCCTCCATAGGTGTCCTCAGCTGGCTTCCCAGAGAGGCTGAGGCTCGAGGCTCACACACTAGTCCAAGCTCACACAGCAAGCCAGAGGCAGAGTCAGGATTTGAACCCAGATCTACATGGGTCCTTGATCTTACACAGACTTGGTGTCTTGTTATTATCAGTGGGTGAAAGGGGTAAGAGAGCGGGTTGTAAAGAGAGGAGGGGTGTATGTGTGAGTGTGTGTGAGCATGAGAACGTGTGTGTGTGTGTGTGTGTGAGAGAGAGAGAGAGAGAGAATGTGTAAGGGATGTGTGTGTGTGAGTGTGTGAGAGAGAGAATGTGTGTAAGGTGTGTGTGAGAGAGAATGTCTGTAAGGGGTGTGTGTGTGTGTGTGAGAGAGAGAGAGAGAGAATGTGTGTAAGGTGTGTGTGTGTGTGTGTGTGAAAGAGAGAGTATGTGTATAAGGGGGGGGTGAGAGAGAGAGAGAGATAAAATGTGTGTGAGGGGTGGGTGTGTGTAGGAGTGCCAAAGTCTGTGCAAATGTGCAGCTTGTGTGTCCACAACAATATTCACTTGGTTAATCATTTGCACTGCAGTCTTGAAGGCGCACAGTTCGAGGCCACCAGCCGCTCCGAGGGAGAAGGGTGGGCAGTCTCCTCCCGTGCAACTAACTGCCTTTGAAAACCCAGCAGAGGGTCAATGGTGGGTCAGTTCCAACTCTACAGCACACAAGCACCACCACCGCTGTCTGTCCACCCGCTCACTTTATTTGACTGTAGAAGTTCACTCTGCTCCTGTGTGTTTGACTTTCTGGGGTGGGTCACTCCTGAGGGCGTGCTGAATTTTGTCAAATGATTTTTCCGCCTCTGAACCTGCTAGGCCTTAGGAGCTACTGTTCTGGGCTTGTTGCAAGCTGGTGGATACAGGATCGGCCTCAGCTGTCCCATGGAGGATGTCCAGCGCCAGCAGTGGGTGGGGGCTGGCCACTCATCCTGGCCGTGGGCCACGGGGCCAGATGTTCAGGCTTAGCTGCTTATCCAAACAGGGATAGAGTGACCGGGTAATTAAGCGCCCACTTCTCTGGGCTGGCGGAGGGCAGCAGGGGGTGGAAGAACCTTGGGCAGACAAGCCCGACCCCTCCAGCTTGGGCCCAGGAGACACTGTCCCTCTAGACCCTCTCGTTTCTCTTTGGGGTTGACCTCGAGCCAAGATTCAGTGACTCCCATCTGGAAATGGAAATGGTGACCTCTACTCAATCGGGGTGCCATCTCCTGACCCCCAGGACAAGGGGACGGACAGAGGCCCTCCCTTCAGCATCCCCACCCCCACTCCGCTCTGCATGACGAGAGTCAGCAGTTATTTAAGTATCCCGGCCTAATGAGCTCTGGGAACGGAGAAGTCTCCGTGCCCTCCTTTGCTGGCCGAGAGCAGAGCTCATTCTTCAGGACCCCCACCCGTCCTCCCGAGTAACTGGACCCTGCCAGCCTTTGTAGACCGAGGGATGCCAACCTCCAAGACCTCTCATGACCGCAGAGCCAGGTTTGCAGAGAAAAGATGGTGCTTCTACTTGAAGGTGTAGGACCAGCTCTTACGGACAGAGCAGGAAGCCAAGGCACAGGGAAGCCACCGTGGGGTGAGGACCCTTCTCGAGGACACACTGCAGGAGGGCAACGAGGACACCAGGTTGTGATGAAAGCCGTGACTGTCATGTCACCTTATTCTGGGTTTGAGTCCTGGCTGTGCTGGGTGACTCCAGGCAAAGACCTATCCCTCTCTGAACCTCACTGTCCTCTCTAAAACAAAGACTCCTGTTCCTGTGTGCAAGGACAGTGATGAAGATCGTTGATGCTGCTCGTCCATCAGCTCCAGTCACCCACAGGTGCAGAGGAGAACTGCTCAGTGGAAGCTGTAGATTTTTTCAGAAGCTTCTGAGGGTGGACTGGAACCGCCAACCTTTTGGCTCAGAGTCAAATGTTTAACCATCAGTGACTCCTGATAAAGATTAGCCGTCAGATGTCAAGGTCACACAGGGACAAGCACATGAAAAGAAATGCTGCATGATGTTAGGGGTCGCCGAGCTTCCGCGAAGGAAGGACGATGGAACGGAGAGGGCTGAGCTCCAAGCTGAGCGTGTTTCAGGTGACTGACCTGTGCATAACAGTGACATGATCATCAATCACTCATCTGCGGAGAGGGTAGTGCGTGCCTCGAGCCCACCACCAGCAGCTGCGTGGAAGAAAGAGCAGGTGGTCTGCTTCTGTAAAGATTCACAGCCTAGGAGCCTCTGTCACGAGGGGTCACCGTGAGTCAGACACCACCATTTACAGCAGGAGAAACTCACACCAAGAGCTTAAGTAACTTCTCAGTTTCACACGTGGCCAGGACACCAACACAGGCGCGGGGGGACTCAAAGCTCCCCTCCTTGCCCAGTGAGCTGAGGACGGTCGCGAAGATGAAGCGTCATGTGTGCAGAACCTCAAAGCGGAGGCTGACGCATCGGAAGAGGCTGACAAATATTAGTCATTATTATTATTATGCACTCATGCATCTAGAAGCTATTTCCTGAGTCCACCCTCTGTATAAGGTCCTGTGCTAAAATCAGACAGGCAACAGTGGACAAGACAAAGATTTCTACCCCCGTGGGACCTCATTCTCACTGTCATGACAGTGCCATCTTCATTACCATCCTCAGCACCGTCACCCTCCTCACCATCATTATCCCGTCACAAGAATCACCGTCATCAGCTCTACAACCCTCATCGTAATACCCTTGCCATCCACGCTCTCACGGTCATCTTCATGGCCATCACCAACGTCATCGTCCTCACCACCCTATCCTATCATAATCACCACCGCCATCACTGCTACCACCATGATGACCTTTATCTCCATGGTTCTTATCAGCATAACCACCATCTTTGGATCATAAACACCGCCATCCACACCACCACCACCACTACCATCATCTTCTTCATCAGCACTATATCACCATAATCGTTATGTCCGTGATCCTGACCATAATCACCACCATTGCCCCCTTCTTCAGCACCATCACACCTTATACACGGCCACTGTCATTCTCACCAGCATAATCACCAGTGCCACTGCCATTCTCATTATCACCCTCACCACTGTCCATCATCCACCCCATCCCTGCCACCACCACCACCACCA